ACGTACGTACTACTACTCTCTCTCTCTCTCTCTCTCTCTCTCTCTCTCTCTCTCTCTCTCTCTCTCTCTCTCTCTCTCCCCTCTCTCTCCCTCTCCTCTTTTTGCATTATTTAACAAATATTAGCAGCATTTATTTACAATAATAAATTAATTTAATCGACTCGACTTCTATTTTTACTGTCGATTCAACGAAAAAGGCGACAGCGTTAATCACATAGAATCCGCGAAGGATTAAGAGCGAACCGCAATTCTCGCGGATTTCCATCGAGTCACAGAAACTCGCAGGATCAGCCGCGGCCCTTTTATGTCAATCCTAGGGGGAAACTTGCTGACCGAGAGAAAATGGTGGCTCTCTCCGGCGCCGCGCGCGAATACCTCCCGCTATAAAATCCTTGGTCCATTGTGGCGGCTGCTCGGACAGATCTTATCTGCTCGAACGGATTTGGACTCGGAAGTGCCTCGTAGTACGAACACGCTTCTCCCTCGTAAATCACGTTAGGTGACGCGTATTTACATCTCAATGCGCCGAGGAGGAGGCGAATAACGCCTTCTCCTCTTCCTCTTTAACCAGGGCTTCTCTCTCGTCGTTTCTCTCATGCCGGTTCTCTCTCGTCCGCAGACTCTCCGTTTTTCTACGTTCAATCCTACCCGCGGATTTGCATTTTTGCTCGGCTGCGGTAATTTTTCGATTCGATTTTTCGACCGATTCGGTACGCGCAATCTCGCTCGCGTAAATACCATCGGCGGAACAATCAACGTCATTGATATCACCCTGACGTCGGTATGATACGGAATTCTCGCGACTGGCAGAGATTCGTTGTATGATACGATAATGGGATCAGCGTGCGCGATATCGTGCGGTTATAATTAATCATCCTCGGAGAGCCTCGAATCACGGTGAACCCGGTGCGGCTGTCAATGCGGATCGATGGATTTTTCGTCTCGATGTCGAGATATTTTATCGGAGCTCATAAAAAAAAGGAGAGATAAACGGATATTGATGTTGAAATCCCCGCGTCCGACAAAATCACCCTCGAATATCGAGTCGTAATCGAGAATACGAGGTAAGCGAAATTAAATCGATGATTTTCTCGTGCTCTCAGTGTCGATCTTTCTGCACTCTTCTCCATCGGGAATTGCTTTTTCGCATAGCATAGCATCGACGTTGTCATTTACGCGGCTGGATCCGGAAACCGAGGTTTGCTTCATGACTCATAGTGTCGCGCGATCGATTTACATACCGTGACACGACGATTTTCCCACGGTCTTTTCGTAACCTCTCGTCGCCGATCTCTTTCCGAATCGGCGTTGTTATCGGGACGGAAGTCCATCGAAACGGAGCGTGACGCTCGTTTATCGGAGAGCCTTGAAATTGTTGCTCGGCCTGATACGTCTCGAAGTCACAATCGCGTCTAGGAATTTCCCCTCGAGCGCACATTTTCAAGAGGAAGCGGAACTACATCGAAAAACGGATTAACGCGAGAGACAGAAACAGAGAGAGAGAGAGAGAGAGAGAGAGAGGATTAATTAAAAATTCGTACTACTCGATAGCGTTCGATCACCGTTACTACATAAAGCTGTAATATTGCTCGTTTAGCAATCGATGAAATAATTCTTTATTTATACGCCATGTCGAATATGCAATGTACAAATTTAACCCAACACACGGTGAAAAGCGGCGCGAGTATCATCGTTACGAGGAGGGGGGGCGGGAGGGAAGGTGGGCGGGGAAAATCGACGTATCGAAATGCCGTGCAAATCAAACGTGCCGCGATGTAATTCGTAAAACTCATTCGGTAAATACGACGCGATCGATATGATTTGCGTAGCGTAGCCCCCTGTCTCCCCTTACCATTTCCCCCCCCCCCTCTCCTTTCCCCTCCGTCATTTCGCAAAAGGTTGCGTGTATGTTTATGGACGTTAAGCGGGTTTTCGAAACATTCAACCGCGTCCGCGTACGCTCGCAGCGAATATTAATTTACCGCTAATTACGGAAATCGCGGATAGTAACGTTGCAAACAAACGCGCGAATGCCCAATAAGAATTTATTACTGCAGCTCGTTACCGATTCGCGCGTTAATGGGCGACGCGTTTCCAGAGTCCCGCGTGGATTCAGAGAGGAAACGTTGGCCGCGCCGGAGTTATCCTTCCCGCGAGGAGAAGAATAACACGTGGAGTGGATTTCGTGGAATCTTCTTCGCATCGCGAGCTATGCCGGGAATTTCACGCAGATGAAATGCCGCTTCCAGTGGCGTAACTGGCGAGGGTGCAGCATCCACTTGCCTGTCGCCGCCCTCTTCCTCTCCCTCCCTCCCTCCCTCCCTCCCTCCCGCTCTCTCTCCCCCGCCGCGGTGAGATGTATAACTTCACGATGAGTTAAAAGTTGATGAAAATTTTAGCGCAAACTACTAATTCCGCTAATTAAGTAACTCCTCATTTAGATTATGCCGTCCAATTTCTGTATTTCTATCTCGTAGATTCCTCGTGGCATTAACATCACGTGTGCTATATCGGAATGAAATTAATGCTTACATTTCGACTCTTACATTCGAGCAGTCCGGTCGATATCCTGTCCAGATAGTATCGGCGACAAATGCAGATCAGCGTCGATTATTCGCTGTCGAAATAAAATGGGTCGATCGCATGCGGTTAATAACCTCACCTTATGTAAAGCAGTGTCCGCGGCTTAATTGACGAAATATTCAAATTACCCGATTTCGAGGTGCGTTTCGAGGGCACCAAGGAGCAGTCACGCCGCGCATTCAAATGATAATCGTCAAATGATAATACGCACGCGAGTGCGCTCCTCCTCCCTCGTTTTCTTCTTCCTTCTCTTCTTCATGGAGTTAACACCTTTCCCTCGTTGGCGATGTTCGCTTCGACCATCGAGACAATCGGTGAAATATGCGCGATCAACCGGGCTCTCGAAAGGGTTATCGATGTCGTCAATCTACATAATGCGTAATGAGCGCAAGAAGGATGTCATTTTTTTTTCGCGTCACCTCTATTTTGACCCTGGCCGAAGTCCACGCTCCTGCCATCTCGTCACTATCGCCGAACGATCGACCAGTAATGTCTTCCATAAGTTAACATTTAGTGCTTCACTTTTCTCGAATGAGATACTTCAATCGTAGACGGTTGTCGGTCGTTGTCGTACGAGTCGACCGATTACCTCGGACCGGAATACCTCGACATCGACACAATTCACAATCCCTGTCGCTTGCTGATAAAAAAAAAAGTTGCGCTGTGTGTCGGATAGATATCCGTAACTCGTTGTTCCCCAGCTCTCGAATTGCCATCTGTATATCTACCAGTATATGTTTGTATACTCATACAGCGTCGGCGCGCCGCTCGACGTGTGTAACGCTGTTCTCAATTTGTTTCTACACCGCGCGCGTACCACTTGAAACGTGATTCGATAATGAAACAGCACTGGTCCGTCGTCGAGCCGATTTTCGCGCGTCCGAATACCTCATATTATTCGACGCGCGCGGATGCACCGTGCCTCGCCATCCCCTCCCCCTCCCCCCCGGACGCTGTTAATTTGACGAAACATACAATTGACTTTTAACCGCTCGCGCACTCTTATTCGGCGTGTGTTTTATTTATCGCTCTCGACCTCGCGCGCACGCGCGCGTTTTCTTTCCGCGTCGACGTGACGTTCGCGCGATTAATTACCCTATCGGCGAGTCGCGAATCCCTGCAAATAACGGCACGCGCGTGTTTCCCGTAAGTGTCCGCGCGTTGGGTTTAATGCAACGCTCCTGAAAATCGGCGCTCGTAATCGGCGCGACGGCAATCCGTCACGATAAATCGTGAATGGCGCGGCCGTTCATAAATTAACGCCGCGCTCTTATCGAAGAAGGACGCGCGACGACGCATCGACGGGTACATCGGCCGCGTAATCGCCGCGTCGTCGCAAATTGCGATGAGC